GAACTGAAGCGCGCAGGCCTTATCTACAGTGAACAGCTGCCTCCGGGCCCACTGATGTCACAGAGACTCAGGCCCAGTACTGCCTGACCAGCAGCACTTTCCAGAGGATCCTGGTAACCAGAGTTTTAAAGTAACATTTCCTGATCCAAAATGTTGGCAACTAGTACAAAATGCTTCACAGTGCTGGGGCACCTGGGTGACTTGGTTGGTTCAGTGTCCAGCTTCAGTTCAAGTGATGATCTTATAGTTCGTGGGTTCGAGCCCCACATTGGGTTCTAAGCTGACAGTGCAGAGCCTGTTTGCGATTCTCTCCCTCCCCACCCCACCCCTCCCCTGTTTGTATGCATGCATGCACCTTCACTCTACATAAATAAAACTTAAAAAAAGAAAAAGAACACGTCTGAGGCTTTGGCTTGATACACTCATAAATAGGAAGGACCTAGAACTAAAAGAGTCCTTAACTACATCTTTGTAGTAGATGTGGCAGTTGAACCTCTTTATTAAGATTACTTGTATGTACAATAAACATGTCCAGTAAGCCCGTGAACAGTCCATCCATCATGTTGCCTGCTTCTCATCTAATTCCTCTGCGTGTCCCTGAAGAGGCCCATTCAGTACTGAAGCAGAAGTACCCAAGCCCTCGTGAACGCAAACATTCACAATATCGGGGCTGTCCTTGAACCCTCCAGGCTGCGAACTGCAAACTGGTTTAAGGACCTCAGAGAGGTCCCTCTGAGTTCTGCCCCTGAGGTAAGGGGAAGTCAGCAAAAAGAGAGAGGGGTAAGGTTGTTTCAGGGGCTGGAGCCGTACGACTTGACTCCTGGTCTCAGCCCTGCACTGCCACTTACCAGAGAGGTCACCTGGCCCAGCCTGCCTGGGGAAGCCCACAGAAAGCCTCTCAGGCTTCTCCGTGCTCCACCTTACAGCAGCCTCTGTCACCGCAGACCACTTCCTCCTTGCATGATATGCCCATCCCTCCCGCTCTACTGTCTTCTCTCTTATCTTGGGGGGTCTTCTTCCCTCTCTCATCTGCTTCTTCCTCAGTGACCACATATCTGGTGCTGTGGTTCCATGGCCCTCCTCCTTTCTCCCTTGCTCTTCTAGGAAATTGCGTCTCCCCAGGGCTTCACTTACCCTCATGCTGACTCCCCAGCTTGTACCTTCAGCTCCAACTCCAGCCAGTCTGACAACTCTACTTTGGCATCTCAGGGTTCCCGCCAGCCTAACCTGCCCCAAACAGTAGTTTCTTCTCCCTCAAAACCTGCTCCTCCTCTCAGTGAGGGCACCACCATCTGCCCTATTATACAAACCTTTGGTCATTCTTAACAGCTGCCTCTCCCTGGCCCCTCACCTCCAGCCTATCGCCACATCCCGAATATTCTAATAACAAAATACGTCTCCCAACAGTGCCTTTCTCACCGCCTCCCTGCCTCTGCCTGGTCCGAGCTGTCATCGTCTCTTAGCTGACAACAGGCCCTTCTCTGGTCTCCTTTCACGGTAGTGCCTCGTCCAAGCCAGTATAGTGAGCTTTAAAACACCCAAATTGTATTATCATATTGCATCTTGCTACAATTCCAGTAGCTTTCCATTACACTTAGGATAAAGTATACATTTCTTGGCATGGCCCTCAAGGTCGTGAAGGTCTCAGCTTCTGACTATCAAACTAGCCTTGGTTCCGTGCAGTTGACCCTCAAGCCATGCTGTCCTTCAGTTCTATAAGTGGCCTAAATCCCCTTCTGGCCAGGGCCAGTCCTCTGCCTGGAAAGCTGCCTCTACCACCACTCCTGACTTTGGTCGGGTCAGACCTTTCTCTCCCTCCAGGACTTAGCTCAAGGCCACTTACGCAGGGACGCTTTCTCTGGGGTAGCTGAATCCCTTGTGTATGTGCAGCTCTTCCTGACACTTCTTTGCTTAATGCCTGAGTCTTTCACCAATGTGTTTCTAGTGCCTAGAACAGGCCCTGAGCCAGAGCAGGTGCTCTGTAGATCTTTGCTGAATAAATGAACACAGCCAGGACAGGCAATGTCCTGAAATATCTGCTGCTCTGGAATGTTTTCTGATCACCCAGAATCCTGGCAACCTAGAGACCATTAATAATTTATTTTAAAGTATTTAATATTTATAAGTCCTGTTCCGAATTTAGTCTTACTGATCAATTTTTCTAAATTAAACTTGTTCTGAAAATAAGTGGAGAAATAAGTTATTGGCCATTTTCAGTTATATGCAAGTTATCTCATGGAGGAGGTCAGGAGAGACACGTGGTTTAAAAGCCTTGGCACCTGTCTTGCTAGAAGCAACTTGACAATATACATCACAAATCTTAACTGTCTACATGACTTCCTATCTACCTATCTATATCTATATCTATATCTATAGATAAATCTACCTGTATACAGCCACATATAACTATAGATCTATCTATCTGTAGCTGGCCAACGTGTGGCAAAAAGTAGTCTCATGCTCCTGACATAGGTGTAAATATGTATGATCCTTTTGGAAAGCAACTTGGCCATCTCTAGAGCCATAAAGCTGCATTTCTAGCACTCTAGGTAGTCTACCTAACTTCCTCCAGGAGATCTGCCCTGGACCACCCACCATCCACAAACTCGGCACTCTTTACCTTGCTTTTTGTAGTATTTATCATAAATGTAATTACTTGTTCAGTATCTCCTTTCCCTCTTAGATTTTTGGCTCTTTGTTTTTTGTTTGTTTGTTTTGTTTTTATTTCTGAAAGGGAGAGACAGCGTGAGCAGGGGAGGGTCAGAGAGACAGAGGGAGACACAGAATCTGAAACAGGCTCCAGGCTCTGAGCTGGCTGTCAGCACAGAGCCAGACACGGGGGCTCGAACCCACGAACCGTGAGATCATGACCTGAGCCGAAGTCGGATACTTAACCGACAGAGACATCCAGGCACCCACTAGGCTCTTTGAGCGGAGGGGCAGGACTTACTTTGTCTCTATCCTTAAAAGAATCTAAGATTTGAAGTCTGGACTTGTGGACAGTGATTTTTCAGAGCCTGGAAGAAAACCTCTGCTTTCTGCTAATTTTGTCAATAATGCTACTATTTTGGCCCTTTGAGCTGATTGCTTTCTGTTTGAGACATTTAAGTCCGTGCGATTTTTTTTTAGTTCAAGACTGTGGTCAGATCTGCCTACTCTGTCTGAAAAATGTTAGTTCAGGCTAAAAGTTTCCAGGTATGTTAAGATAAATGTGAGATTTTATACCTTGCAGGGCCCTCTGTTCTAAGGCCCACATGTGACTCATGGCCTTTGGAGTGTTGTGGCTTTGTTTCACCAAGTGTAATATCTACAGGAAGAATTTCATATCTTGAAGATGGTTACAGAGATTTTACAAAGAAAGCAGGAAAATAACTGTCTTGTTTAGTATTTCCCTTGCTGGGACTGTGCGTACGAACATTGCATGCAGTTCAAGATGTTCACTTTTTCTCCTTCCACCTTTTACCTTTTATGAAGTATCTACTTCTCTGTGATTGATACCTTGGGCTACATCTTGAATCACCTGAGAATTGTGAGAAAAAATAAGGTGCTTGGCCCCTACCTAAGACCAGTTCAATGGTTTTCAGAAGTCCCCCTGTGAGCTAGTACAGGCTATCCATTGCAGCATAAATAACCTCTCCCAAACTTAGTAGTTTCAAACAAGGGTGATGTTTTAGTTCTCACAATTCTGTGGATTGGTGGACTGTTCCTTCAGCCGGTCTTGCCGGGTTCACTCATGCAGCTGAGTGTAAGTGGGCGTCGGCTGGGGGCTGAGCTCAGCGGCACACCTGGGCCTCTCTCCTTGAGGTACTTCATCCTGGGCTTCCTCAGGGTGGAGGCTTGCGCTTTGCTTGGACTGCTAGCCTGAGGCAGATGTCACCTGGCTTTTAAGACTAGGCCTTAGGAAGCCTTATGCCTCCCTCTGTTTCCTCCCTTTGTTTCTTAGACCACTGCCTGGAGGTCTTCGTGCCCTGAAGAAAGTTAATCATTATGTCTCTCTTCACAATAATTAGTTTGCCTAATTGTAGTATTTCTGAAGGATTGTGGACAGAAAGGTCCAGGAAGCTAAGTGCAAGATTTATCTTTGGCAACACTACATAGATTCCCTTTTCTCTCTCTCTCTCTCTCTCTCTCTCTACACACACACACCTTCAGGCACATTGCTTTTCTGTTTTAAAACGTTTCATCAATGTAGGAAACATGACTTACTCCTGCATTCACAAATAATTATCAAATATCTGTTATGTGCAAGGCTGGGAGTACAGCCACATCATTTTGAGGAAACGGGAATCCTGAGATCATGATTCTTCTTTTCATGGAATATTCTATCTATTGACAGCAGAGGATGTTAAATAATCAAATGAACAATTACTTAGTAATTCCAAAGGATTGCCAAGGAGACATAGGTCAGGGGGTCTAGGAGACAGACAGGGACAGCTTGGGGAGGTCCAGGGACACCTCTTTAGGACATTCAGATCCTCATCTGCAGATGAGCTTGCATTAACTAAAAATCACCCCTCTTTTTCATTCTCCTTTCTTCTCTGGCCTTCTCTTTGCCTTCACCAGCCACCTAGGTTATGCTGTAATCATTTTCTTTATAACTTTTTTATTTTTAGTTTCTTTTAAGTGTTTATTTTTGAGATAGAGAGAGAGTGTGCAATTGGGGGGGAGCAGAGAGAGAGCTGGGGACAGAGGATCTGAAGCAGGCTCCCCACTGACAACACCCGATGTGGGGCTTGAACTCACAAAAACTGTGAGATCATGACCTGAGCCGAAGTCGGAAGGTCACCTGACTGAACCACCCAGGTGCCCCTATGCCATAATTATTTACAAGGCGCTGACAAACAGCTCCTCGAGAGAAGTAAGATCATACTGTTTACAGCCTCTTTCAATCCAAGGCAAGAGAGTTCCCAGAGGACAAACAGGTCTCTTTTTTATTGGATCAAAGTTGAAGAACGCTCTTTCACGGCCCCGGTTTAGCACCTCGCGTTTTGTGTTTCCAGCAACTCAAGCATCCCAACCTCGTTAACCTCATGGAGGTCTTCAGAAGGAAGCGGAAGCTTCACCTGGTGTTCGAGTACTGCGACCACACGGTTCTCCATGAGTTGGGCAGACACCAGAGAGGGTGAGTGATCCATCCCTTAGAAACGAAACGGCCCCACACCCCAGGATTCGTGAGGGAAAATTAGCAATGGCCCCTTTTGCAGATGGGGCAGAAGCAGGCAGTGTGTGCACAGCAGAAGAGTTACTGAAAAGGCTGGGAAAGAGGTCATAACTATTCATTTTCATGAAGAAAGCAGCAGCATTATTAGGCTGAACTTCATTTCTTTGTTGTGTTTTCTGTGCGTAGAAGCCCTCACAATCTCTACGAAAGAAAAGGAAGGCTATTGGTTAGTCACGCCTGACTAGGGAAGCGTAAGGACTCGGGGATTGAAGGCAAGAGTCCAAAGACAAAGGCCAATAGGAGGTTTAAGGTGAAAACAAACGTGGCACTTCGGCCAAAGCGATCCCGGTGTCTGGCCTGCTGTCCTGGTCAGGAGTTTTTGGTTACAGTGACAAGAACCCACTAAGGCAAGTGTAGGTGAAAAAGGAATGGGAGGTGGGGGCTGTGGCAGGGAAAGATGGCTGTGACTCTGGTGATCTTATCACACACCCCTGCTGGCGTGGGCAGCTGCTTTGTGTGCATAACAAGACTTGATTTGAAAAAAGAAAAAAAATAAGGTGTGGGTGTCCCTTCCTCTGGTTGATGGTAGCCCCTTGCCACAGTGAGCAGAGGGCAGGCCAGATTTTGGCACCCGCCCACTCCTCAGCTGGATGCTTTAAGCACCGTCAGTGGTGGATTTGCTCTCTCTCTCAACTCCTCTCCATGCTGGCTTCCTTCTGCCTTGCAGAGGAGTCTTATAAGGTGGCTTTGGGGGAGTGTGTGTCTGTGGCATGCAATGGAAGGGAAAAATATGAAATAGGAAGCATAGCCCATGGGCTTTTACCAAGCTATGTAGCTATTCTAGAGGAAAGAAAATTCTAGAAGAGGGTAGCATCTGCATATAAAGTCCATTGGGAGACTGCCTCAGTTCAGGTGATGCAGCTATCCTTGAGGCCAGTCACTGTGGCCAGATAGAGAGGGTAGAATGTTTAGCAGGCCCTGGAAGATAGGATTCAAAGTGAATCAAAGAAGACTTCCTGGAGGAAGTGGCCTTTGAGTTGACTAGTGAGGAGACATAAAACACGTGAGCAGGGAAGGCTAAGCCCATCCTCTCCTGCTGTGCTCCTGGGAGCCCAGCTTTGGCTGAGAACAATATGCAGAGTGGCATTGTGTATCAGAGTGGTGGAATGGTGCCCCATCCCTGCTCACAATCACACCCTGGTGACAAGAAGCTGTGGCTCTCTCAACAGTGCTTTTAAGCCCTGGCCAAGAGTTTGCTCTTTGCCATGGGGTGGTAGTTATATGAGCGGCCATGATATCCAGACAAATGAGATTAAAGTAGCTTGTGGTTTGTGAGTGACCATGGCATAGGCTTTTCATGTTAATTTACACAGCCAGAGAGAGCCCAGAGAACAGATACTTCCCTCCAGAAAGGCATCGGTACAGAGAGATTATGTGTTCAAGGAAGAAAACATACAATACTTGTTATTTGCTCTTTTGACAGCTTGCAACTGACACTTCAGTTAACCTATTAGTATACTAATACTAATTACTTCTGGCTGTGCTACCAGCGGGGTACTGCAGGGAGCTTGATATATCGTGTTAGGTTGAGTCACTTGGAAACACTGATTAGAGGGGGGCTGAAAGCAGTTGGGAGTTCTTCTTTGGCATGTAGTTTGAGCAGAAGGAAGAAAGGATAGGACAAGGAGTGATTAGAGTTTTAGAAGCAGATTTTTTTTTTTAACTTCACTGGCTAAAATATATTACATATGTCCCAGGAAATAGAAAATGCTTTAATATGCAGGTGACTTAGGGAAGGGAGCGACCAGCAGATACATGTGAGGTTAATACAAGACAGCATTTCCAAATGACAACGTGCCTTCGGTTAAATAGAAGATTGACCAAAGGAATGCTAATAAATAAGCAAACTTGAAAAATAAGATTTATTCTAAGCCAGATTATATTCATTTATTTTGAAGCTTAAGGATTTTTTTGTTTTTTAAAAATAGAAGTTACTTTCCATTACACTGAATATTTGACAGTTCTCCAACGTAGTTTTTTGAATTTTTTAATGTTTATTTATTTTTGAGAGTAAGAGACAGAACATGAATGAGGGAGGAGCAGAGAGAGAGGGAAACACAGGCTCTGAGCTGTCAGCACAAAGCCCAATATGGGGCTTGAACTCATGAACAGTGAGATCACGACCTGAGCCAAAGCTGGACACTTAAACAACTGAGCCACCTAGGCGCCCCTTCTCCAATGTACTTTAAATGCTATTTCAAATCTTTGCTTGTCATCATTAAGGAGTAAATGTCATTAAACTGCATCAACCAAAGATTCTGAAATTCATACGAAACTGTTTCTTTTTCAATTCAGAAATCTCATACTGTAAAATAACACTTTGTAAGTACATTCCCTATAAAAGTGGGTTGGCATCACGTGTGTGTGTGACCTTCGGCAGGTTGCTTCCAAGTGTTCTCACCTGTGAAAATGAGAGTTTAGGACCAGGTGAAGTCTAAGGGGACTTCCAGGTCTAAAGTGCTATGAATTGTTGACCTAATACCCTAGAGGTGAGAAGAGCACAGGTCTCCTTCAGCTTCATGTTAACCTGTTGGACAGTATCAACAAAGGAGAGCGTGCGAATGCCGGTGTTTTCCCTGCCTGGTGTCAGGCGGGGTCCTCCTTAGGTTTGTCCACTCACGCCGGAATGTCCTGTGATCCCTGTATTGTATTTCTAAGTACAAATTTCTAAAATACAAAGTGGATCTTACCACTCTCTGCATAAAACCCTGTAATAGCTCCCCCAAGCTTACTGATGTGGTCCTAACATGGGACACCAGGCTTCAGTGTCTCTGCAGCCCCATGTCTCACCAGCTAGCCACATCAAACATGACACTGCCCATTCTGAGCTTCGTTCAGTAGGACACGCTGTTTTTACTGTCTGCATCGCCCCACCTTCTCGACTCTGCCTACAATATCCTGCCTGTCCCTCAGACACGGCTCAAATATGACCTCCTGGGTAACTATTTTAGCTGACACCGAGGAGAGTCAGGAGTTCCTTTCTCTGGCATCCATAATCACTTCTGGAATCATTTCTATTACATACTCTATTTGCACAGTAAACTGTAAAATCTTCAAGAGCAAGAGCTGTGCCTTCCTCCCCTGCGTTTCCCCAGTATCTCCTAGCTGAATTCTTGGCACTTGGTATATCCCTACTACCTGTTGTGGGATGGCCAAGTTAGCAAACCAATAAACTGATACTTACAAAGTGATTTTGAAGAAGGGTAACAATAACAGTGTTTTGATTATTTATCATTTTAGGATACTTACTTTGATTTAAAAATTCTAAAACCTGGGGAGCCTGGCTCGCTCAGTTGGTAGAGCAAGTGACTCTTGATCGCAGGGTTGTGAGTTCAAGCCCCATGTTGGGCATGGAACCTACCTAAGAAAACAAATAAAATAAAATTCTAAAACCTAATATTCTCAAAGGAAATTCTCAGTACACTGCTGGGGCACCCTGTCCAGAGGGCACTTTGGCATTATATATTAACAGCTTTAGAGAGAAATCTTAGGCCAAGCAATTCTACTTCTAATAATTTATCACGAGAAAATAATTGACTACATGTATAAAGGTTTAGTTATGAAAGTGTTTATTGTTAAAGGATTTTCTGTATTTTCTTATTTAAAAAAAGTTTTAAGTAAGCTCTGTGTCTACTGTGGGACTTGAACTCATGACCCTGAGATCAAGAGTTGCACTCTCTACCACCTGAGCCAGCCAGGTGCCCCATTAAAGGATTTTTTAGAGTGTAAACATTGGAAACAACTGAAATGTCCAATAGTAGATGGCTGGTTAAGTAAATTATGGTATATCTTTACAATGGAATGCAGTGGGGCCACTAAGAACCGTGATTAGAGATAAAGTATACACTGAAATAGGGGCACCTGGGTGGCTCAGTCAGTTGAGTGTCCGACTTCAGCTCAGGTCATGATCTTACCATTCGTGCATTCAAGCCCAAGCCTCACCTTGGGCTTTGTGCTTACACCTCAGAGCCTGGAGCCTTTTTTGGATTCTGTGTCTCCTTCTCCCTGACCCTCCCCAACTTGTGCTCTATCTCTGTCTCTCAAAAGTAATTAAATGTTAAAAAAAAAAAAAAAAACATACATTGAAATAGAAAAATGTTCATGAGTGATTGCAAAATGAAGAAAAATGCTATAACAAAAATATATAATTCATTTTCATAGAATTCATATATAGATAGGAAAAAAGAGTAATACACTTAATATTTTTTTTAATGTTTTTTATTTATTTCTAGGAGAGAGAGAGACAGCGCGAGCAGGGGAGGGTCAGAGAGAGAGGGAGACACAGAATCTGAAGCAGGGTCCAGGCTCTGAGCTGGCAGTCAGCACAGAGCCGGACGCGGGGCTCGAACCCACGAACCGCGAGATCATGACCTAAGCGAAAGTCGGACGCTCAACCGACTAAGCCACCCAGGCGCCCCATACACTTAATATTTTAATAGTGATACTTTGAATTATGATCATTATAGTTTTTTTTTAAAGTTTTATTTATTTCTAGGAGAGAGAGAGACAGTGTGAGCAGGGGAGGGTCGGAGAGAGAGGGAGTCACAGACTGAAACAGGCTCCAGGCTCTGAGCTGGCAGTCAGCACAGAGCCCGACGCGGGGGCTCGAACCCACGAACGGCGAGATCATGACCCAAGCGAAAGTCGGACGCTTAACCGACTAAGCCACCCAGGCGCCCCTGATCATTATAGTTTTCATTTTATGTTTTTAAAAAATGTTTATTTTTGAGAGAAAGAGAGTACAAGTGGGGGGGGTAGGTGCATAGAGAGATGGGGACAGAGGATCCCAAGTGGGCTCCGTGCTGACAGCAGAGAGTCTGACATGGGGCTCAGCATCCTCCTCCATAGGCCAGCTACTCGAGCTGAAACCTTGGTATCATTCGTTGATTCCTTTTGTCTCTCCTATCCAGTCTTTTGGAAAATCCTGAAGACTCTATTTTGAAAATATTGCCTGAATCTGGCCACTTCTCACTAGCAGAACCACTACTCCAGATGTTAACTTAAGCAGAGAAGCTCTCTGGAGCACACCGCAGAAGTTAGTGCCCCTTCTGGCACAGAACCCCCTGCACGTATGTGTGTATGCAATTCCAACCCAACACTACAGAGCAGATCCTATTTTTTTTCCCCCTTATACTTGTAACTCCCTTCTTCAGCAGCGAAAAACTTTGCTCCTATCATCATCAGCTAAGAAGGATCTTAGAGATAGAGTCTGGGGCTCTGGCATTTCAGAGAAGAAACAAAGTAATAAAGAAGTGAAGTGAGTAGCTAACTCAAGAGACACTAGATGGTTTTGATGTTTGACGAGTGTGTAATAATGGGCTCAGCCTTAGAGGAGCATTAATAAATATGCTATTATCATATGCTTTTTAAAAATGTTTATTTGAGAGGGAGAGAGAAAGAGAGAGAGTGCATGAACAGAGGAGGGGCAGAGAGAGAGGGAGACGCAGAATCCCAAGCAGGCTCCAGGGTCTGAGCTGTCAGCACAGAGCCTGTTGTGGGGCTCGAACTCATAAACCGTGAGACCAGGACCTGAGCCAAGGTCCAATACTTAACTGACTGAGCTACTCAGGTGCCCCTATAATTTACTTTTAAGTGCTCCTTTTCCATAATTTATTTAGGGAAATGTTTTTAGAGACTAAAGTGGGCTGGCACTGGTAACCTTATTTAATATTTAATTCCATTTTTTTTCTGGATAAAAAGTAGAGGCTAGGGGAAGCATTTCCCCTAGAGTGTCCTCTTCTTAGTTGTATTTTTCTAGGCCTTCTTTCTAAACAGGTGAGTTTTCCTGGCATTGTGCCAGTGTAGCACTAGGACAGGGAAAATAATTTAGAGAGAAGATACTTCAATCCCAGGGACATGGTCCTAGTCCAGAATTGTCCCAGCTCTTCCTGGCGGCGGCCTCTTCATTTCCTCCACATTGTCCCATCCTCTGTTCAAGCATCCTCTGATCTACTTGAAAGGATTTCCTGAACATCTGGTCTTGTGACAACAGTGGCCTCATGGCCCGTCCCAGAGCCTAGAAGTGACTTGTTTTGGTCACCTTAACACAAGTACTCGAGAGTTTCCTCCCTGGTTTACTTATTAGTTCCGGCTGAGGACCATAACACCATTGTCAACGTCTGATTCATAAAAACAGTTAAGTCCGGATTGTGAGTGGGAGGATCTAAAAATAAATGTACTCTCTCTGTAGTCATTTCACTCATTGCCCACTATATATTTTAAAGGTTCCCAGAAGAGGAGCCGTTTCCTAATTCGCACGAAGCATCTGCTGGGGCTACTGGTTGTCCTGGTTACGTAAGCTGAGAGTCGGGGAAGAAGTGGGTGGCGGGGAGAAATGGCACCAAGTGTAGACACCGTGATGGAGGACAGGGCATGAAGATGTGGATGCGGCTAGCTGCCAGAGAGCAGCAGTGTGGGCAAGAACCTAGATGCCTATGTGGGTTCTTAATTATTTTGTTACATGCTGTGCAACGTACGCCTCTTCCCTCTTGGCAGTAAAATCTTCATTACCTTAAAAAAAAAAAATGCTGCCTGGGGAGTCTGGAGAAGCCATGTGCCCATGCATGAAAGATGAATTCTGTCTCAAAGGATCAGTTAGGGGCCACTTGGAAAGAAAAAAAAAAAAAGAGCAACATCTTTTTTGCTATATGTTAACTCACTTTTCATCGATAAAAACCTCCTTGTAGAAATGGAGCTCAAATTACCAGACAGGTTTCCAGTGCTTTCACAGATGTTTGAGGTAGGTGATCCTAGGTATTTGTGGAAAGCCCTGAGTTTTCATGGCCCTTTCCTGTAGGAGTTGATGTTAGTATTGCTATCACCTTGCTGTCCCTAGAACCCTGCAGTGTGCTGATCACATGCTCTTTACACTTTGGATCTGCTCTGGGAGGTAGATGGCCTGTATGTGTCACTGCTTAAGCCTGTCTTAGTTTACTCCTTCCTCCCTCCTTCCCTCCCTCCCTCCTTCCTTCCTTCCCTCGGTCCTTCCTGTTCCTTCCTTCCATTCCTTCCTATCTTCAGCTGAATTCCATGGCTACACTAAAGAATGTGTTTATGTTGCTTCTTTATTTTTATTAGGGTGCCGGAACATCTTGTGAAGAGCATAACTTGGCAGACATTGCAAGCTGTAAATTTTTGCCATAAACACAACGTAAGTCTCATGATCACCCTTGAAAACGCAGAAGGCTGCCTTTTTTTTTTTTAATTTTTATTTTTGATAGAGTCAGAGCATGAGCAGGGGAGAGGCAGAGAAAGAAGGAGACACCGAATCTGAAGCAGGCTCCAGGCTCCGAGCTGTCAGCACAGAGCCTGACGTGGGGCTGGAAGTCACGAGCTGTGAGATCGTGACCTGAGCCGAGGTCGGATGCTTAACTGACTGAGCCATTCAGGTGCCCCCAGAAGGCTGCCCTTAAGCTGAGGCTGAGCCTTTGTATAAAATCTATATCCTACTTTTGTGGATATGATTTTTCATCCAAATCCTCTGAAGCCTGGTTGGGGTTAACAGAGGCTAAAAATGCCAACTTAGCTTTTCTCACTTGTTCAGGTTACATAAAAGATGTATTGTTATGATTTTAAGAAATGGGTTATAGGGTTTTTTTTTAATGTTTTATTTATTTCTGAGAGAGAAAAAGAGAGAGACAGCGTGAGCAGGGGAGGGTCAGAGAAAGAGGGAGACACAGAATCCAAAACAGGTTCCCGGCTCTGAGCTGGCTGTCAGCACAGAGCCCGATGTGGGGCTCAAACCCACGAACTGTGAGATCATGACTTGAGCCGAAGTCGGACACTTAACCGACTGAGCCACCCAGGCGCCCCGGGTTATAGGTTTATATCGGTGAGAAGCCACTTAAAGTGGAACCCAGAGTCTGTATTGATACAGCGCCCTCAGAATGCTCTGACACTGTTGGGAGCCCCAGGTGGCTCGTGCCTGTTCAGGTGCGGGGGGGGGGGGGGGGGGGGGGGGGCAGAGTCCCACGCGTCATGCACAAATGCTGGTGTCTGTGTTGGTGAGCTATGAATACCAAGTCTGGTGCAGAGCAGCCCAGTGGATGCCACCGAGAGTCCTGGCCATGGCTAGGCTGAATGGGAGGGACAGGGGGTTCAGGTGGTAAGACGCCACCAACATTGGGAAAGTGGCTGCTGCCTCCAGTACAGCACTGCCCACTCCCTGCACACAGAAGTCTCTAGATACCAATATTAGAGCTTCATTTTGGCCACCAGGGCAACAAGACCACAATATGTCATCCTGTCTACTGCCGGGGTCAATTTAGCCAGCGGGGCTGAACCTACTTCCTTGGGAGGTCCTAAATGATTTTTCCTGCAACTCACTTTCTGGAAAGAGAAAATCAGCCTGCACTTCCCCTGTGGAGTCTCCACTCGGCTGAAGGTGACAATCCTTGTCAAAATGCATGTATCCCAGAAAGCGTGGACACCTTATGCTGCTATTTATTGCAAGTGGGGATTAGCACTTTCTTGAAGGCAGGTTGTAAGATGGGGGAGGAAGCAAGACCTCCTGAAGGCCCTGGTGGGGAAAATCAGAGATGCTAAAGACAAATACAACACATACCACTCTTCCCAGGGGTCCCTGACGCCCTGGGCAGCCACACGTGCTGATGTGGGGAGGGCTTAGAAACTTGTAAAGGAATTCTCAGAACAGAATAGGAACATGTTCTTACTTGTGAGTCCTTCTGACCATCTGTCATCATGATATTCATGGGTATACCCATTTATAGTAATATGTAAAGCCAGTGGGAAAAGAATGGGACATTAATTGCTGAGAACCAGATAGATAGTAATAAAATAATTGAGAAATTGTCTCCCCCCCACCTCCAGATTGTCAAGAATAGTAAATACCCATGGGGAAACACTCACACTGATCTCTCACCCTGAAGGTCCTTTGGAGTAGGAACTAGGCCAGGCCCAAGAAGAACCTCTGTCCTCTCTCCAAATTCTAGAAAGTCAAGAATACCCCAGGGTTTCAGCTGTAAGCCAAAGAGGGTCTCTCAGATTGCAACAGGATCCAACATTCTTCTCCAGAGAGGAAAACGCCTGGGAGAAGGGAAGATTATTGGGAACCCTGAACAGGATTCTGACCTGAATGTTGTTTTTATATAATCTGTAACTAGGTTGTTGATTTGTTCTTTGCCGGGAGAATTGTTATTTAATAAGAAAATCATGTGAATATTCTTCAACTTTCTTCTAACATTAGCCTCTTAAACAATGTCAGCTGTGGTATGGAAACCGCAGGTGATTTGAGTCTAAGTTGTGGAGTGGGGGCTACCTCCCGTGGGGATGGATGTCGCTCTAAGAACGCTTGTGTGTGGGACAGAGCTGACATCTAGCGACTCCCCAGAGGCTAAGCTCTGCCTACTCTTGTTTATCTTATCAGGACAAATTTCAAGAGCTGGAAGGGAGGTCTCTTGGCAAGCTCCAGTTCCCGCCCTTCTCTTCCCCTGCTTATCTCAGCAGGCCCAGGGCTTGTCCTGTTTACCAGGCAGACTGTGTTCTGTTCTCAGCTAAACAACTGAACAGTGAATTCTGCTTATGTATCAGCTTGCAGCTTCTGCAGCCCCGATGCAAGCCTCGCCCAGAGCCTTTTAACATTTTCCCTTTCACCTAGGTTTACCAGAATAAATACAGGGCACCCAGCTAAATTTGAATTCCAGAGAAGCAATCTTTTTAGTGTAAGTATGTCCCAAATACTTCATGAGATATACTTATACTGAAAACTTGTTGTTTATCTGGCTACCCTATTTTCATTTTTTCTTTCTTCCTTTTTGGTCCTTTTGGACCCTTTAGGAATTTGGGGTGATTCAGGCTATATTAAGGATGGTACTAGATTTATCTTAGGCTGCTATTTTGTGGTCTATTATCCAAAAGGCCAGTACAAGATTTTAATGATCTCTCAGATATTTGCTAAATATTTATGAGTTCTGTGTATCCCATACATTATAGTTGCTCCTTGATAATCTGTTTTGTTCTGACTTTTGTGACTAGTGCATACATAGAGATGTGAAGCCAGAAAATATCCTTATCACAAAACATTCAGTGATTAAGCTTTGTGACTTTGGATTTGCCCGGCTTTTGAGTGAGTATTGACATTTTCTTAAATAATTGTAAAAGAGAGAAGGAGTCTTTATATGAGAAAGGCTCTAGATGCTATAGAAAGCTAGCTCTTACATATTTAGGGCATGAGCATGTCTTAAATTACAATTCTGCAATTACTGAAAACATGTAGATACATAGAGTGGCTTAAAAATGTATGCTGTATATAAATTATACCACAGTAAAGTGGTTATTAAAGAGTATGTTATTCTCATGATTTCTACTTTTTTTTTTTTTTCTAAAATAGACTCTCAGAAGTACTATTTTAGAAGAGTAGTGGTTTTCAGCTTTGTCTGCAGGTTAGAGTCATCTGGGGAGCTATCAACTATAACTATAAAAACTATACTGAGAAGTCCCCAGGCTCTCCTCCAGGACTTCTGGTTTCATTGGACTGAGATGGGGCCCAAGCATTAGTAATTGAACAAAGACTGCATGAATGATTTTAATATGTAACCAGTATTGAGAACCTTCGGTTTAGAAAAGTCACAAGATGGGGCACCAGCTTGATTTCTTAGGTCTCCCCACTCCCTGTTCTGACTCCCATCTTCCACTGCTCTCTCTGTTTTCCATGTGCCACCACTGGCCAGCTGGCCCTAGTGACTACTACACAGACTATGTGGCTACCAGGTGGTACCGCTCCCCGGAACTGTTGGTGGGGGACACCCAGTACGGCCCCCCAGTAGATGTCTGGGCAATTGGCTGTGTCTTTGCTGAGCTGCTCTCAGGAGTGCCTCTGTGGCCAGGGAAATCAGATGTGGATCAACTCTATCTGATTAGGAAAACCTTGGGTGAGTGGTATTTTTGTTACGTCTTTTAGGAAACTGAATAGTTTTACCCATGTCAATACAGGACCGAGCCAAGTTCCCAGTTCCATTCGATGCCCTTTACACTTACAAAGGAGGAGTACTCTAGAAGCCTCATTTAACTAATTCCATTAAAGGTGTCCACATTTGGAGGTACCTGGCTGACTCAGTCAGTAGAGCATGCAACTCTTGATCTCAGGGTCATAAGTTTGAGCCCACATTGGGCATACAGATTATTTAAAAAAAAAAAAAAAACGGCAGTTGTCCATATTTGTTTTTAATAAAAAGAATTAACTAGTGTGAATACACACTGATCAAAAAGACACAAGGTTCACCCTTCAGTATAGTTTGGAACATAAACTCTGAATAATGATCATAGCGACAATAAAAGCTACGTTTCTGTACAAGCTTAACAGTTTACAGAATGCTACTGTGTTTTATTTCATTTATCAGAATATGTAATTTATTCTTTTTTTTAAATTTTATTTATTTATTTTTTTTACAAATAGTTTATTGTCAAATTAGTTTCCACATAGAATATGTAATTTATTCTTTGGGTATCCCTCACTCTAGCCTGCTAGGCTAGATTGGATCATTGAGATGGTATAGAAGAAGATTCTAAACCTTCTAAGTGTCAGGAAGAAAGGCCGGATCTTCTGCTGTCACTCTTGTCCTTCTCTCTACTCTTGCGGTGGGATGGGGGAGGGGAGGGGAGGAGAAGAGAAACTGGGAGAGAAATGGATGAAAAGATCTATAAAGGGGACTGCCCTCTTCAGAAGTCAGGGAGTTTAGCTACTACTCCCCAATTTAAAGCAAATTTCCTCCTCTAAACTCTTGCAACACCTACCATCACCCTGTCTTGTCTTATACTTTTATCTCCCTAAAGATACTGTAAGCTACCTGAGGGTGAGATCATGTCTCACATTTCTAGGATTTCCTTCACCAATACATGTACATAGTAGGCAGTAGGTATTTGCTGATGGGTGTTTTTGTGGTATGTAGGCACCTTGGAGCCCTTCCAGGGGCACTCAGCCTTCCTTTGCTGTTCCCCCAGTGATTTCAGGGCACCCACTTTGTGTCCCCGCTTCCAGCACTCCGATGGAAGAAAGTTATTAAGATGCAAGCAGTGTGCTCATGATGAAGTTCACAGAGATCTGAGACAGAGTAGTAGAGTCTGTTTCGGCTGCTTGTACAAAATGGGTCAGGACAACAGCTTATGGATTTGAGTGAGAGGTAAAGTTCCAAAACAAATCCATAATATTAGACAACTTGATACCCTGCGGTAGGAACTCCAGTCCAGTCCAATAGCAGCCTTTCCAGGGCCCTGGTTGGAAGGCTTTTGTTGTTCACTCTGCTTTGGGAAGTGGGCCTGGGTGTACCCCAGGGACGCCCTGCTGAGAATCTCCTGATACTCTCTGAACAAAATTCCTCTTCACATGTCATATCTCTGGGATTTTTACACAAGGGTGATTTTAGCTGATTTGGCTGAAATGTAGGCAGGATGAACCTCACCTAATCCTCCAGAATATGGAAATGCTTCTTTTGTTTCATTGATTCATATTGTAAATGCTTTCTAAGTAGTAGATAAAATGGGATTTCCAAGTGGCCACTATTTGATGAAACAGGAAAAGGTGTTTCCAATTTGGAAATGCATTCCTTCTAGCTAGATCTTCCATGATTTCCTTCCTGCCTTCCTTCCTTCTTTTCTTCCTTCTTCCCCTCCTCCTTCGTTCCCTCCTTTCATCTCTTTTCCTTCCTCCCTCTCTTCCTTTTTCCCTTCCTTCTTTCCTCAAATACTTATTGACTGCTTGTTACGTGTCGGCCACTGTTCTAAGTGCTAGGCCAATGTATTTTTATATCCACCCGTCAGAACTCAATTAATATGACTTTGCTTTGTATTTGTTGCATGTTGGCTATTTTTTAAAAAAGAATTATTGTGTGTGTGTGTGTGTGTGTGTGTGCGCACTGCACACACATGCTCGCACGCTTCTGAGTTGTTTGGACTCCTCAAATACATTGTGAGTCTTTGAGGGGCAAGAACTTCATAGCCTTCAGTTTCCATGCATGCTTCCTCTACACCTAACACAGTGCTTCGTCCACTGAGGTCTTAGTCCATGTTGTTGAGGGTTGCCTCAATGTCTTCCTCTGATTGGAAGAGCAGACTACAGCCTTCACTGGTTGTAGGCACAAACACAGCACTGGTGGAGACAAACCATAGATCAGCGCTTGCTAACCAATCTCTTTCTTGTCCAAAGGAGATCTCATTCCTAGGCACCAGCAAGTATTTAGTACGAATCAGTACTTCAGTGGGGTGAAAATTCCAGACCCTGATGATATGGTGAGTGACCCATTTTGGAAAGAGCTCTGCATGTCAAGGCTAAGGTTACCAGGGTGTTTAAGTGGTGATCATTCTCCTTATATGGGGAGTTGCAGATGAACTAGGTTTTGGTAGTTACTCACCTGTCTTCATGCCATGGCCCACTCTGCAGTGGAAGATCCATTTGAGAGTGAAAAAGAAAATTGGGGCAAATTGGCTAGCAATACCTTGGCCATGAATAATAATTTAGAAGTTGCTGATAGCAGAGGTTAGCCAGCCTGTTGGACAGAAATGCCTTCTCCTTCCCTTCCCTGTTTTTAGCAGCTGAAACTAGGTAGCTCATACAGTGACTTATCCCAGGAAAATTCAGCATTGTCCACGTCCTCTACTCTACTGTACTTTTACTGCCCAGACCACAGCAGGAAACCGTAATGAACTTGCTTGGTGAATCTCATTCTGGTATCTCTCCTCTATAGCCAATGTGGAGAAAATACTCACTTTTTAAAACTAAAAAATTTTAAATGTGCATACTCTTAACACACTTTCAGGAATGTATTGCAGTGAAACCATCAGACAGAGGCATAAATATGTGACATTAGAAATTATTTCCTTTAGTGTTCCATCCATAGGGGAATCATTAAATAAGTTATGGTATATCTCTACAATAGAAATGCCACATAGCCAGCAAAAATAATTAGATTTATTATGCATTCACCTAACAAAAAGTCCACAGTGTATTGTTAAATGAAAAAGGCTATAAAACAGTATAAATAATGACATAATTTTAATAAATGGTTAATAAATGCATAATACACGTATACATACATTTACATATGTAAATATAAAATAACATGACAACTTCTGGAAAATCACACAAAGTTTTTTTGTTGTTTTTTTTTAAATTTTTTTTTTAATGTTTTATTTATTTCTAGGAGAGAGACAGAGAGACAGCGTGAGCAGGGGAGGGTCAGAGAGAGAGGGAGTCACAGACTGAAACAGGCTCCAGGCTCTGAGCTGGCAGTCAGCACAGAGCCCGACGCGGGGCTCGAACCCACGAACCGCGAGATCATGACCTAAGCGAAAGTCGGACGCTTAACCGACTAAGCCACCCAGGCGCCCCACACAAAGTTTTTTTACATTTGTGAAATAAATGGCTGCAAGGTTATATACCAAAATATTAACAATGGGTGTCTCTTTGTGGTGGCGTGGTTTCTTTCTGTCTTTATGGGTTTTTTAAAGAAATATTTTTGGGTGTCTTCCAATGAGCCTGTATTATAATCAAAACCATTTCAGAGCACACTTAAGGTTTGTGAAATCCTGAGTTTCTACTGTCTAAGGAAGGTACTTTCAAATAGAAACTAAGCCTCTAATTGCTCAGTTTCCAGATGAAAGTTCTGTCAAGCTCCATTTGAGCTCTGTTCGCTCATTCTCCTGGCATGCCCCACCATCGAGGCTTTCACATTCCCGGCTCCCCCTCCTCTTGCACCACTGCGCATAGGAAAAATGGGTCATGCAGGAGCCTGCTGGGACCGAGAGGCAGGAATGATACCTGGCATATGGGAGGTGACCCAGATGGCTCCCTTGTGACCTGGACATTCCCAGTTCCACTAAATATCCGTTAGTGATTTCCTCTTCGCTTGTCTTCCAGTGAAGACTCAGAAACAACCCGGGTTTCATATATGCAAAAGGCTTCCCAGGGTCTCCCAGAGGTTGTCCTGCAGGGGATTTCCTGTTGACAGAAACACAGGAAGAAGCAGTGCGGGGGCTGCGCTGGTTGAACATCTGTGCCCGAGTCCCTCTGCCGGTCAGTCACCCTGCTGGATGGAGGCCTGCTTGCTTCTGGCGCTGGGAAACCAGCTAAGCAGGCAGGATGGTCCCTCCTATCACAGCCAAGCAGCCGGCCTGGTCCCAGGCGTTGTTGCTGAGACAGCAGAGCTCAGTGTCAGCAATGTCATTCATGTCAGTCCCTAGCAGTGCCCAGATTCAACACACGCAAACAGCAAGAGGAATATTTAAGATATAGTTGGGGCCGGGAGGCAGGAGGGGAAGGCTACTCTCAAGCTTCTAATACAAATCTGCTGTAGGATTTTTTTTTTCCCCTGGTGATCTTAGGGAAGTCCAAAATGGGGGCTCATATCTCTTACCCTTATCAGTGATTAGTAAATGCACACTCGGAATTTGGTTGTTTAGGTCTGATTCCCTGTGCAAAAATAACCCTGTGCTCTTAAGCTTGACCACGGCACTCAGAGTGGTGTCGCTTTAGATGACCCTGGCCAGTCCCTCCAGCCTCCAGCTCACAAATGCCATCTTTTTGTGCAGGCGATGCACTCCAGCTGCTCTCCTTAATTTGCCTCTCTTAGTGGTGTATCTCTTTAACTGGCCTGTCTGGCCCCCTGACATTCAGCATTCCTCTTGCTTTATAGTGCTTGTTATTCCTGATTGTCTCCAGCATGTGACTGGAGCAAAACAGCCTTATATGGCCAGAGGGAGATTGATGAATGTCTGCTCCAGAGACTCTTTAAACAGCAGGATGATCAGGGAAACAGCAGGCTCTTGTGGGAGGAGAAACCAGTGTTTATTCCAGAAAACCAAGAAGCATCTGTTCACCTAGGTAGGGGGGAAAATCTATTTGGAAGTTTCCTTTATGTAAATGTCAATAGATGCAAAAATTAGAGCCTCTTTTAAATGCTAATATAAATGCCAAAAATTACTCAGAGGAAAAGCAAGTTATAGAAATTGAGGCAGGAAAAGAAGAAATAACAGTTGCTTCACACGTGGGTTCCTTTCCTTCATGAATGCTCCTTCATAATTCGCTACCTGCGTCAGTTCTTCGGGAAGTGAAGGGCGTGGTGAGGAGGAAAATTTGGAAAAGAAATTTGGAGGTGGAGAGAGAAGGAGCTTGTGAAACAGGCCTGAGGAGGTTTTTCAGCTGGCAAGTGGGTGGGCAGAGGGTGGGGGAGGCAAGATAGGTGCCAGGAAGATGCTTCTGTCAGTCAGAAGACATTCAGTCTGAGGTCACCTTAGCTTTGAATACAGACTGTAAATAAAACCCCCTCTTCTTTTCTTTCTTTCTTTTTTTTTTTAAACAGGAACCACTTGAATTAAAATTTCCAAACATCTCTTATCCTGCCCTGGGGCTCTTAAAGGTAAACTCATGGCATCTAACAGACCCGGAAGCGCACAGTAGTTGGTGTCACTGAGGAGCCTGAATGATTTATGTCAGTCCGTGAATTGCAAAGTGTTCCTTTTAGAATGCTCCTTCTCCATTGGAAAGTATAAGTACTTGGAATTTTTATTTAGATTCAGTTACAGTGAAAACATCTGTAGGTATTTGTCACTTTAAAGTAAACCCAACATATTGTATTTAAAATTTAAGTTTACAGAAATTTCAGAGGAATAGAACTTGTTTTATGAAGGAATCCTTTTCTTCAAAAACATAGGATTCATTCAAATAGCCAACTCCCTAGTATATCTGATTTTAAGATTTGATTTATATATACATTTTCAGAGATCTGTAGCTCTTATGTAAAATCGGGTACCAAGTAAAACATTTTCAAGTTACAGTCCATGCCTCACCCATTTCAAAGTATTTAATACATTTACTGGTGCATTTATAATATAATTTAAAAAAAATGGAGACAGTTCCTTGGGGTATATAATTGTGAGATTTAATCTACTCAGGTATGAACCCTGTGGCCTTCTTCATGGCAAAGCAAATAGTTAAGAATGGTGTAATCTAAGGGCATGTATACTATGCCTCTCCTTCTGTACATGCATTACACTATATAATGTGTGTGTGTGTGTGTGTGTGTGTGTGTGTGTGTGTATACACACGTTCTCTGGAAGAACGTACCAGAGAAAAAGGAGCAGCTGAATCTGGAAGGGGAGAATGGAAGAACTGGAGTGGTGAGGAGACTTGGCTGTGGGCTGTGTTCTGTATGAGTTTTATTTTTACCATGTGTGAATATGAGTTTTTCAATAAAAACCCTAATTTTCACAAAGTATACACAAAGTCCCAAACTGGTTACATGGATTATTCTGGTTGGATTCTGAGGCAAACTCAAAAATCCTGTCTCACTCCCTCAGGGCAGAGCACCACCTGCCTCCGGAACAGGGCAAGGTGGAGAAAATGATTTTTTTTGGTTACTATTTCTAGAACCTATTTATTTACCTCTTATGTGGTTACCCATTTAGGAATAATTGTGGAAGGAACCAAAATCATGTTTGGAGGGTTTCTCCTACTTTTCCTCCTTCCTGTCCCCAAATGAAGGGTTTGATCTGTCAAAGAAGAAAAACAAAATTGATCTTAGTAAGTTGATACAATTTTAAAGAAGAATGGGGACTTTTCTGTTCTTTTAGGGCTGTCTCCACATGAATCCTGCCGAGAGACTGACATGTGAGCAGCTGTTGCAGCACCCGTATTTTGACAGCATGAGAGAAATGGGGGATTCAGCAAAAGAGCTTGACAGACCAATAAGGAAGACCCTGAGACAGAGCCGAAAGCACCTGCCTGGGGTAAAAATGGGGCACTGCTTTGCAGAAGCAGCCCGGGGTTGCAGTTCAAATGATCTCATGCCTGCCACCTGGTGCAGGGATTCTGCATCTATTCTCAGGGGGGTAATAGCAGCTTGCAGCCCCAGCACCCTCCATCCGGAGCAGGGTGAAGGCATATGATCTGTCAACCAGGGCACTGGAGACGTCTGCCTCCAAGGACCCCCTCTCCCTGAATCCTGAAGGTGTCCTTGCCCTGCAATTCCCCGCTGACACAAAGGGGCTTTGTTGTGGACGAGCACGGTCTCAGGCACACAAGGGTGAGCCGCGCCGAGCGTGCTTTCTGTGCTTTGGAGAATGAAACCAGATTTATCCCAGGCATCTCTCCGTCACATGTTGACTTGCAGTATTGATTGACATTCCAGGTTTATCCAAAAATGGAACTGTTTTCCCCTCTGTTCCTTTAATCATCAGAGTTGGCTCGGGTAGACACAGTGATGAGTGCTCTCCGTGATGTCAGGACAGCTTATTTAACCAAAGAACAGCATCCCGGCTGCACATGGGGAGCCTGTGAAGAAAAAGACTGGTATAGAGTGGCAAAATAGCCTTACATTAAGTGTTCTGTTATAAGCCAAAAGCTGTAGGAACATAGAACGGACTGTGGTTAGAGCCACAACTGAGATGAGCTGGCTACTCCTGGTCATTGCTGCATCTGCCGAGGTAGCCCTTAACCTATAGATTATTACGCCTTAGTCTTTCCCTTTGCAGACTCCACTGCCCAGTCTGCTGAGTGGCATCTGGGTGGCGTATGTGAGGTTTGGAGGAGAGAAGAGGAGGGACAACCCATTAGGAACAGGGAGAGCATGAACTGTGGGGTCCTAAGATGGACCAGAGTTACAAAATTAAGAAGACTTTATTTTATTGTCATATATGACCCAGGTAGCAAAACATGCCAGAATTAGACTCCCCACCCTCCACCCATCCCGAGTTACTACTTAGCTTGCTGTTAATTTGTGTTCAAGAGTAGAGGGCCTTGGGGCGCCTGGGTGGCTTAGTCGGTTGAGCGTCCGACTTTCGCTTAGGTCATGATCTCGCGGTTCATGGGTTCAAGCCCCGCGTCGGGCTCTGTGCTGACTGCCAGCTCAGAGCCTGGAGCCTGTTTCGGTCTGTGACTCCCTCTCTCTCTGACCCTCCCCTGCTCACGCTGTCTCTCTGTCTCTCTCCTAGAAATAAATAAAACATTAAAAAAAAAAAAAGAGTAGAGGGCCTTGATGGAAATATTTCTACCTGAAAGAAGAGAGGAGCCCACTAATTAATCAGTGTATTGCATATAGGTCCAGAAGGAGCCAACTATTTGAAGTATTAAAAAGTAACCTCTCAGTTCAGGGACGCCTGGGTGGCTCACTTGGTTTTGTGTCCTGCTCTCGTTTTTTGGCTCAGGTCATGACCTCACAGTTCATGATTTCGAGCCCTGAGTTAGGGTCTGTGCTGACAGTGGGGAGCCTGTTTGGGATTCTCTCTCTTCCTCTCTCTCAGCCCCTTCCCCTGCTCACCCACAGTCTCTCTCAAAACAAATTAACATTAGAAAAAAATAACCTCTGGTCAGATACCGAAGGCCATGTAGTACAATACATATATTTTTTGTATGTTCTCTGTCATTTGACATGGACAATAGATTGAAACATTTTCTGAGAACACGAAGGGAAGTTTTACCTTTTAAACTAAGGAGTAAGGGGGCAAATTGCTTAAGTGCTCCAGACACCAGTTTTCTTTTCTCTAAGACCACACATTGGCTTAAATGATCCCAAAGGTCCCAGCAAGCTCTTAACTCCTGTAAATCTATGTTTTTCCCCCAGTAATGTTAATATGTAGATTTTTCCTTCTTTTCCATATCCTCTGAGTTTCCTCAAAAGTACAGTGTTTTGCTTTTTAATATAAAATAAATATTTAAAAGGAAAAAGAGAACAAATGGAAACATTTTGTCTTCACTCAGGACCTGGGATTCTGTGCAGAAAAAGCATTTCTGTGCTAAAAAATGGACTTATTTACCTCTTTTGTGATGTGTTATCAATAACGTAAAGTGTGTATGGGGTTGAACCTGATTCTATGTTCTGTGTCTTCATCTGTAGCACCTACCCCAGCTGACTAGCAGCAGCTTCCTTCCGGCTTTGGATAATAAGAAGTACTACTGTAATATGAAGAAACTCAACTATCGTTTTCCAAACATTTAAGGAGCTTGGAGATTGATGATGAAAGAGGAACCAAACCTACACATTTGATTGAAAACAATCACAATATTTTTTAAAACATCAGGAGAAAACCTAAGTAACAAACTGGGGGAGGCCACTTGGCAGACTCTGAAGGGAAATTCCAGAGGCAGCCTTCTTCCATGCTTCATGATGGTGACCAGAACAGAAAGGAAAAACTTGTTTGGATTTTCACTTGCATTTTTGTTGTATCTAAGTATCTGAGCTTATCGGCAGAAATATAAACAGTATCTACTGCCCATATCTCTGGCAAAATTAGAGACCTGATAAAGATTTATGCTTCAATTGTACTCTAGGCCATGAGAAAAATGGATTACAAAACACCAATATGTATTTCTTGTAACTCTATCATGTTGTGTCCTATTCCCTGCCTTTTAGTTCCTGAAATCACAATGTTTAAAATTCCATTTTCTGCTTGCTCTCTCTCTTCATTTTCATATTTTAAAACATTTTGAAATATTGAAGAGTTGCTTAATATATTTAAAAATCATGGATTCTCATAACAAAATTTATGTATTTAATGATGCTTCTAGACATTTCTTACATATACTTTGGTCTTTACCTTTGGTAAAGGATGCATCTTTGTCATCTTTGCAGGCAAGATGGGTTTACATAACCCATGTACAGGTGACCCAGTTCCCTGTGCAAACAATGGTGTGAAGAATGGCAGCTGACCAAGGCAATCAAGGGGTAGAAGGAGCCCTGCAGTCTTCCTGGGAACTGAGCCTATCAGCCTGAGAGTAATTATTCTTCATTCTCTCCAGCTCAGCCTTAGACTTGGAGACGGATCTATGGGCAGGACTACATACAGTAATCTGGCTTTTGGAAGAAATTGCTTATGAGTTTTTACTTGGATCATGAAAGATATGAGGTTGTAAACTCATATTTTTCCTGAAATACTTTTTTTATACTGATATGTGTATACATATGCATATATGTCTGTACACATATAAGTGTGCGTATACATATACTATGCTAAGAACTGATAAAAATACTAAGAGAGTAGTCCAAAATGATACTGAAGATTCCTACCTTAGTATTGTGAGACTTAAAATGATGACCTGTAATTAGCTTTGACTCAGCCTACCACTTGTCTTCTGAAAGCTTGATCATTCCTGTACCCTGCACACAAGGGCAACATGAAGCTCACGTCTGTTTTTTATCGCTCACTGCCAGTTTTGGCTGATGTGCTGCTGCTGTTTCCTAGTCATTCTCAGCTATGATTTTAGATGTTGTATTTTACTGTATCTTCAAAACATTTCTACTGTACTCTTACTAGTTTACTGTTATAATAACTTCCTTCATGACAGCATTTGACTTTATCCACTTACTGCTAAGTAACTCACCAAATTTGGGCATCTGTTCTATAATTATGGCCACTCCAGCCAGGCTGATGATATTCTAAGGCTTCCTGATGTATGTAGCTTCTTGCAAGGAGCTGACAGTGGGTTAAATAGTAGTCTCAGCATTATCTGATTCTTATGTGGCTTTGATTCAAATGGCAAAGAAGGAAAACCCACTTCTGTGAATAGTTTACATTTTGTGGTTTTTTTTCTTTTTAACCCCAAACAATGTACTTGACGAGGCAGATTATTATAACTGCCTAATTTATGCAGTAGTTTTACAGAAAACCATTTAGAATACAAAAGTAGTTCCAGACTAAATTGTGAATCAGTTGCCTCACCACACAATAATCAAACAAATCTGAGATGGAAGCATTCATTTTTTTCTAATGAGTTCTAAATGTGCACTAATGCTTACTTTAACCATATCTGTAATCATTCATTCAGCATGGAATCACCATTGATTCACATAAGACTGTTTTACAACTTAGTCTTTTTAATTTGTTATTTGCTGATTTTATAAATGACAGTGGCAATTATATCTGTAAACTGTATATTATTTGTGGTATGTGCTATTTATATAAGCTGGTTTCCAAACACAATTACAATCCATTTTTTCTACCCCAATGCTGCATCATACAGTGTTTATTTTAAATTTTTTTTTCTTTTAATCCTTTTTTTCTTTTTCTTTTTCTTTTTCTTACAAATAGTTTATTGTCAAATTAGTTTCCACATAACACTCAGTGCTCATCCCCTCAAGTGTCCTCCTCCATGCCCATGCCTCCTCCCCCCCACATCCATCAGTCCTCAGTTTTTGTCAGCATTCAAGAGTCTCTCATGGTTTGCCTTTCTCCCTTTCCCCCACCATTTCCCCCCTTCTTCTCCCCCATGGTCCTCCATCAAGTTCCTTCTAATCCTCCTATACGTGCAAACATATGATATTTGCCCTTCTCTGCCTGACTTATTTCGCTCAGCATAACACCCTCAAGGTCCATCCATGTTGCTACACATGGCCAGATTTCATTCTTTCTCATTGCCATGTAGTATTCCATGGTATAGATAAACCACATCTTCTTGATCCATTCGTCTGTTGATGGACACTTAGGCTCTTTCCATGTTTTGGCTCTTGTGGAGAGTGCTGCTATGAACATTGGGGTACATGTGCTCCTATGCCTCAGCATTTCTGTATCCCTTGGGTAAATTCCTAGCAGTGCTATTGCTGGGCCATTTCCAGTTAAAGTTCTATTCAAGAACTTATAGTTTATATTCAAGAAGCAAACACAGAAATCTACAGACAAGTTGGCATACAATTAACAATAATAGAACCCAGGCCATTTTTAGCAGGTAAAAATAAAGATCTGTTTTTACCTATTTGTGATATTCTTTTTTTTAATTTAATTTTTTTTTATGTTTTGTCTATTTCTGAGAGAGAGAAAGAGAGAGAGAGAGCATGAACAGGGGAAGGTCAGAAGGAGAAGGAGACCCAGAATCCGAAACTGGTTCCAGGCTCTGAGCTAGCTGTCAGCACAGAGCCCGATGCAGGGCTCGAACCCAGGAACCATGAGATCATGACTTGAGCTGAAGTCGGAAGCTCAACCGACTGAGCCACCCAGGTGCCCCTGTGATATTCTTTATCACTCCTTTCTAGATACAAATTGAAGTTTGTGTTTATACTTCTTTTTGATGTCCCTTGAAGTCATAGGCAGCAGTAGCCAACATATATGGGGAAATTAAAATTAGTTTCTAATTGACATGTCAAAATTTTTGGTTTAAAGCAATATTTTAATTTAAGCAAAAAATAAGTATAACTGTGCTGGTCTTCATGATTATTTCCTTTACCACATTTAGCAAAAGTATTTGAATTCAGCCAAATATTTATGTATAGTTTTTTAAAATTTATGTATAGTTTCAATAAAACACCAGACTAAGCTTACAAAGGAGACAAATTAGCCAAAAACTATTCATTCAGGGAAAGGTGTAGGTTATAAAGAACAAAGGAATGTAGGATCATGAGAAATGCATGCAAATCCTGGGAGGCAATATGGATGCCTCAACTACTAATGACTCCCTCTCATAATTCATCAATGAATATGAAACTTAGCTTTCAGTTTTTCATACGTGTACATTTATAGTAACATGCTTCAATAACTTTAAAGTAAAAGGTAACATTAACATAAATTACTGATAAAATACATTACGGAATATCTGTGTTGCACATTTAAATCACTTTAAAGAACTCTCAATATCTACATACTACACAGATTTCTATATTAAATGAGGAACACACTAGATTAAACTACTACCTCTTTCCATTTTCCCTAAAAGATTTAGTGTTCATATATTTTTACTTCCAACTTAGTAACTTCAGTGAGTCATGACTAAATATCTATTTTCTACATGATGGACTCTGCTTCTGAAATGTCATGATTGGACATCCTTAGGATCTGTTGATGATTATATAATATTTATTGCTGTTTAGGATCAACAATTTCAAATGCCACCTTATATTGAAATACGATACTTCTTGGATATTATTATTTTACTTCAAGTTTAATTTTAGTTCCAGAGAAGGCAGTGCTGTCTTAAAGGCTCGGATGAGGTTTTCTTTTTCTCTTACTCCAGGAAGATCACTTAACAACAAATATTTGAGGTTTCTGCAAAAAGAGGAGGAAAAAAAGCTACTTTGGTTTGGCCTTTACTCTCCAGCATTAAAAATAAACTGTAGTCACTGTCTTTTTTCAAAAAAAAATTACACACAGAATGTATTTATATCACATTATACTTTCAAAATGACTTTTAGAACAGTAGTGTTAAGAGTGCTACTTTAAATGAAATTCATGCTAGGAGCTAAGCCAGACTTTGGAAACTTGAGTTGTTTTGAATTATATCAACAATTCTAGCTGAATCTTTTCAAATACACTATATGTATTACGGCATAGAACTCCTTTGCATGTGAAACACTAAATATGAATCTTAATCTAGAAAAGGAAGAAAATTGGGAAAGTTCTTCAAGGAACTTCATTAAAAGATAAAGCCTCAAAGCCTCAACTAACATAAGAAAATCTACTACTTTTGGTTCTGAATTTTAAAATTTCTCTGCTAAAAAAAAAAAAAAAAAAAAAAAAAAAGACTTAAAAGCAGGGGTGGGGGGCACCTGGTTAGCTTAGTTGGAAGAGTGTGTGACTCTCGATCTTGGGGTTGTGGGTTCGAGCCCCACGTTGGGTACAGGGATTACGAAAAAAAAAATTTCTCAGACTCTCTGTGATACTGAGGTTATCGTCAGAACTTCAGGAAAAATTCTTTAAAAGATGGAGAGGAAGCATGATGGCAAATGCCTATTGACAGCTTACTGTAGTAATCACCATGCTAAGTGCTTTCTGTACATTTACTTTTAAAGAAGATGCCCCCTAAAAAATGCAATAAAACAATGTATTAAGGTTGATAATTTTAACTGTTTTAAAGTATTATAGACGAAAATTAAGTCATTTTCTTACATTTTTCTGAATTAAAAAAAGGTACCACATCTCAACTGTTTTAAATTCTAATTATTCAGGGCACCTGTCTGGCTCAGTTGGTAGAGCATGCAAATCTTCATCTTGGGGTTGTGAGTTGGAGCCCCGTGTTGTAGGTAGAGTTTACTTAGCTTTTGTTTTTTTAAATTTAAATTCTAATCATTCACTTTTAACATCATTATCAAGTTTCCATTTTGGCACTTACCACTTACCTTAAGTGATACAAAGCAATGATGCCTTTGTCTGTGACATTCCCACATGAAATTATTTCCATTTCCAATATGCTCTTTTGTAAATTTTCAAGCTTACCAAGCTTCTCCAAACAGCTATCCTCAATATAATGACACTTGCATAGCCTTATTTTTTCAACGTGCTGTAGGCCATCTAGGAGATAAGAGGTCCATTTTAAGAATCTGCTTTACCATTAAGATCACCAACTATCCTAGTTTGTCTAGGACTATTTTGGTTTTAGGATTGAAAATCCTATGTCCTCGGACACCCCTCTCTCAGTCCCCAAAACTTGATGATTAGTCACCCTATTAACCATACAAACTATTCACTATACAGGGCCAGTATGTAATCAGATGCTGTGTGTTCTGTATAGCAGAAGCTGTATGGGTACAATTATTCTTACATTATTGAGGGTTTCTCAAATGACAGAAATTCGACAGTTTGATAAACAGGGCCTTGAATTTTAAACCAATAAGCACGAAATAAAGGCATGCAGAGATAAGTGTGGTGAAAGGAGAAAGGAGAGAAAAGTGTTTATAATGCCTATTTAATTTTTAAAAATCACACACGGGAAAAAAGCTGGGTTGTAGTGACAAAGGCAAAAAAGGACACACCTATGACTGTAATAGTGAATCAACTGCAGCAAAATGTCACTGCAAATCACCTCCATTTCTCATAAGCAAATGACAGGGCAGTTACCCATGTAATCAAATCCAATGCGCATGATACAAGAGTCTGTGGCATCAATCGCCTGAATCTTATATTTGTCCAGGGGTCCTGTCGGGAGGTGGTTGTAGTCCTTGTGCCACCTCTCCTGGCCGTGGTAGCGCACCATGGCCCCGCAGCGCAGCAGCCACTCCGAAGCGGCCCTGTCGGGTCCCACATCCCTGATGCGTTCATAATCCACTCTGTTGGCAAAGAACAAAAGCGGTTCGTTTTTAGTATAATCACTAGCTGCTTAACTGTAGTCTGTCAACATAAATATAGTACAGCAACGGCTTTCCCTCTCAAATGACGGAGAGGGAGCTAAGGACACTTGTGAGAGTCGTGTCAAAAAACTTTTGATGGCTCTTCCTGCTCCCTTTTTCGTTTTTGTTTCCACCTGCGCCCTGTCAAAGCCTGTTGTTTGTATATGAGTTTATCAGGCAGACATGTATCTTCATTGATTCCTACGTAGCACAGTGCTTGACACCAGGAGGTAGTCAGTAAGTACGGGTTGAATGAATGACTATACTGGGTTATTGTTTTCGTTGATGATAAAAGACAAAATGGAATAATTTTGAATCTATGTTCAAATTAATCTCATTAAGTGATATTTATTAACTTCTACATTTGCCTTTCTCTCTAGTTGGTGGTGATGATGCTGTATTAAGCAACAAGGAGATGAGTTTCATTAGTTTCAAAATGATATTTCTTTTTTTTAAATTTTTAAATGTTTAACAGAGAGAGAGAGAGAGAAAGTGCACGTACGCATGTAGAAGTTGGGGAGAGGCAGAGAGAGAATCTCAAGTAGGCTTCACACTGACAATGGAGCCCAATACAGGCTTGAACTTATGAACCATGAGATCATGACCTGAGCTCATACTGAGTCACTTAGCCAACTGAGCACCCCCCCAGGCACCCCTCAAAATGATATTTCTAAGCATGCAACCCACTTTTTAAAAAACCTGAGTCTAGGGGCGCCTGGGGAGCTCAGTCAGTTAAGTATCCAACATCGGCTCAGGTCATGATCTCACGGTTTGTGGGTTCGAGCCCCATGTCGGGCTCTGTGCTGACAGCTCAGAGCCTGGAGCCTGTTTCAGATTCTGCGTCTCCCTTTCTCTCTGACCCTACCCTGCTCATGCTGTCTCTCTCTCAGAAATAAATAAAAACATTAAAAAATATATAAATAAATAAATAAATAAATAAAAGCTTGAGTCCCCATGGTAGTATTCAAAAGGCTAACTACATCCCTCAAAATCCCTTTCATTTTAGAAAATGTGAAAGGTATCAAAAGGACAAATAACAAAAATCATTGAAATCTTGACTGCAACCTAGTTGTTAATATTTTGTATTAATATTGCTAATATTTTTTGTCTTTATTCAATGTTTGTGTGTATGTTTTATTATTAAACAAAATTAGGATCATATTGCACACACTGTAAAAAAAAAAAAAGACATTGGAAATACAAGAAATAACCAAATTAGCTACTGGGAACTCAGCAGCCATAATAATCCCCATGTATCTTCACTTTAGTTAGAGTAACTTACTTATTAAATACTGCATTCAACCAGCCCCAGAAGTATCTGCAGTCACATGACCATGGGAGTTTCTTTAAGCCGCACAACTGCTGGGAAATTTTTCCAAACAGCATCGTTTGATCTAGACACACAAAACAGTATTCATATTAGGTTATCAGCTGGCAATCAGAGTCCCATGCACGCAGCAACTTGCTTTACAACATCAGAGTCCATGCTCTTGTGCCAATAAAGTTGATGAGTCATTTGCCACTCAAAGTTATTGGACAAGTCACTCCTGTCTGTTTCTTGGTTTCTTTGCTGCAAAAAAAGAGAGGCTGGATTGGATGGTCTCAAAGGTTCCTTCCAGCCTTGGTATTAAGTTTCAACCCTCAGTTGGATGGATGGACACCTGATGTCCATCCAGGCAGTGCACCTACACATTTGCCAAAACCAGCTCTACTCCCAATCTACATTTCCAGTATCAAAATGACAAACTAAAATCACCTAGGGAGCAATGTTTCGAAGTTAAGATGCTTATAGCCAGGGAGAGGCAATGTTGAAACAGACCTTTCTAAGACAAGGTTGTAAGTAGCATCACCAGAGTAGTGCAAACAAAGAACTGTGCAAGGGCAGCTAGGAAACACTGGGCAAGTAACATCACCTCTCTGACCCTTGGTTTTCTCACTTGAAAGATGACATGATTTGCTCAGGTGATTTCCAGCTGTAAAAACCTATAACCATGAGCTGAGAAAGTGGTTGCTGAACTGAGTCTCAATCTGATTTAATTCATTTCAAGTTTCTCTATGAGTGTGCTAAGTTGAGGGAAAACAAAGATAAACCAATTGTGGTTTCTGCCTTTGAATTGCTGAAAACTTAATGTGGGGTGAAGTGAGCTAAAACAAGTTATCAAGTCGTTAAAACAAATGATAGAACCTGAAAATTTTTTCAAAGAGTTAAAATAAGAACAGACCAGGATTCCAACAGGCAAAATGCCAGGAGAAGGTATGTCAGGTGATTAGCTGAGGCAGAAATATTTAAGGCATGTTGCAGTTCCATGTGGTTAGTACATGGGGATCATGAGAAGAGGAGGCAGACAGTGTACACAGTCACATCCAGGAAGGGTCTCGCCTGATCAGCCAGGGAATTTCGATTCTCTTCCACAGGCAGTTAGTTGGGAGTCGCTGAGGTTTTAGCAAAGAGCACCGGCATGTTAGAGCCATGCTTCAGGATATTATTCAGACAACAGCACCAAGAATGAGGGTCAATAGAACAGAACAGAGAGACAGCTAACAAGGGCTTCAACTACACATGGCCATGGGAAAGGACCAAATGGGGAAAGAATGGGAATGATATTACAGCGCGGATTCCACGAAGGTGACATTAAGGTTTGGTCTTGGGTCACTGGTTGGAGGGTGATGCCATGAATAGAAATCAGTGTCAGGAGAACCAGCTGTAGGTTTCCCCCACCCCCGGCCCCAGTTTTTCATATTCTAACTATGAAGTGTTAGCATAACTTCTAAGTGGAGACAACCAACAAATTATTAGAGTGAGTCAAATTATTAGAGTCACAAAATGCAAGAACTGGACTGAGCTTAGACCACCTAGATCATTTAGACATGAGGAAACTGAAGCCCTGATATGACGTAACTTGCTGACACCTTAAATCCTTTCTGGAACCAGGTGGAGTATTAATAAATGCATATGTTTAAAAGAACTTGCTCAATGTTTCATGGCTAATTGGCGGCAGCACTGAAATCTGAATCTTGTGCTCTCTCCTACCAGTCCAGGGCTTTTTCCTCAGTCATTGGATGTACTAGAACTCGGGAATAAGAAGACTAAAAGAGGCCTGAGTGGGAACCACCCTAGAACCAAGAAGTGACTGCAGATGTTGAGACTATAGAATAGTGAGAGATGAAGTCTGAAGACAGAACCTGGGATCACCTCCCTTCTTCCTTTCTTTTCTACCATCATCTGCCTTCATCACTACAAACCTCCCACCTGCTATCACTATCTCATTCTCAACCCTTTCCAACTTTTTGGTAAAGCTCTCTCCATCTGCGCCCACCTCTGATCACTCCACTGGCTGCCAATCTCATTTATCTGGGCTTTCCAGCTTCCACTTAGGCTGTCCTACTTCCTGTCCGTCCCCCCTCTCCATCCCATCCTGTCTGTGGAAATCTTACCCAACTTCAAGACCTTATTCAAATGCCATCTCTACCCACCCATTCATTTCTTCATTCAGTAAGTATTTATTGAATGCCTGCTATACTTAGTGCCAGAGATACAATGGTAAGATTTAAAAAGCAACAACAAAGGAGAGATGGACAAGGTTCTTTGTCCTCATAGAATGTATACTCTAATGAAGACAGACACCATAAAAACAAATAACATGCAATATGTCTAAACAAGTTCTGTGAGAGATAAGAGGAAGGAGTGAAGGGAAGGCTTCACACTAGAGGTGTCTTTTGAGAGGGTCTTAAAGGATAATTAAGGGTTTCAAGTTAGGCAGAAAAAAAGAAAAGTGTGCAGAGGAAAAAGGAGAGCAAGGATCACATCTTATTCACTTCCATTTTTCTTAGCACCTGGCACATTCCCATCCCCCAAATGCAAGAGTTTAATAGATACTTGCTAATTAGCGGTCTTCAATGATGGATATATTTCCATAGAGAAAGGCCAAAACCAGAGATTGGTATTAAGCAGGTAAATTAGAGTGAAAACTGACTACCTTCACTTGATTCATTTTGGTTCACCTTATAATTCAGCTTAAAGGAAAGGCTAAATTTACTCCAGCTATGATTTCTAAAAATACTAGACTATTATATTTAAAATATTTTAAACATGAATATAAAAGTTTTACTTGGAAATAAAGGTAAAAAAATAAATTGGTAGATTTTTACATTCTCAACTGCGCTGTGCTGATTTTAGAAATTTCAGATGAATTCAAGCTACCTCCGGGAGTGTTTTCTACAGGGAAAGAGGAGACCTCTAGTGGTGAGTTTGTAAATTTAGCTCTAATATTGGGGGGGAACCCAATTAACAGCAAGTTAAAAAATAGCCACTACTAAATTATTGCTTTAATAGGTAATTCAGAAATTTAAAAATCACTTTAAAAAGCTTCTTTTTACTCTCAGAACCTGGCTTAAAGCACATGTTTCTAAAAATTGCAATTATGTTTGTAACTTAGAGAAGGCCAGACCCCTAATGTTTGATTCAAAATAGAATATACACAAAATGTTTCTGAGTAGGTTTGGTTGAGAATTCCCGTTTGCATAAAAACAGTTAAGTTTTTTTTAAGTAGATGTTCTGGGGTGCTTGGCTGGCTCAGTCAATAGAGCATGCAACTCTGGATCTCAGGGTTGTGAGTTCGAGCCCACATTGTGTGTGGAGCCTACTGAAAATTTTAAAAAAAATTTTTTTAATAAAAATAAAAGTGGAAGTTCTGTTTTTACTTCGCCAGCTATTCAAAGTGATGGCTAACTAAGTGGCCCAAAAGACTGAGCTAAAGAACTATTTCTTTGGGGTGATAAAAAAGGGGAGGGGCTAGGGTGGTATCGGAATTGGGGAGATTTTCCCCCAAATTACAACCCCACCTCACTGCAAATGACCAAATATTGATGCCAACTCTAATTCCTGAGGTGTGTAGAGTCTAGTGAATAGGAAGAGAAGAATTCATTAGGAATTGGCAAAATTCCCCAAAGCCATTCCTAGGCCAACATCACATGCGACTCAATGAAGTAACATCTTATTTGCTTTGACACAGATGGAAGATGAACTTGAACTCTCAGCTGAGGGTGGTGTCATGAATACAAATGTCATACCAAAGTCATTACAGGGTATATGAATGGAAGGTGAGCTCTTGATTTGAAATTACTTGACTGAAACAAATTAATATATAGTCAAACCTAGGGGAGGGTAAGCAGAAAAATATGTATACAAGAGCAGATGTATTGTGAGTTCTTTCATCTTGCTAAACAAAAAAGTAGGTACTCAAAATCACATGGTAAATAAGTCACTACTGTGTGCTCAAGTGGCCCATGAAAGCTGACCATAGATGTGTGTAATTCTGTATTCAACCTAGTAACAAAAATCCACTACCTCCTGTCCAAACTAAAAAATAACCATCTCTACTACATACCTATCCGAAGGGCTAAAATTAAAAACAGTGACAACACCAAATGCTGGTAAACCAGATTACTCAAACATTGCTGGTGGGATATAAAGGTACAGCCACTTTGTTTTTTATTTTAGAGAGAGACCACGTCAGTGGGGGAGAGGAGCAGAGGGGAGAGAGAGAGAATCTTTTTTGTTTTTTATGAATAGTTTATTGTCAAGTTGGTTTCCATATAACACCCAGTGCTCATCCCCACAAGTGCCCTCCTCCATGCCCATCTCTCCCCCCCCCCCACATCCATCAGTCCTCAGTTTGTTCTCAGCATTCAAGAGTCAAGAGAGAGAGAGAGAGAGAGAGAGAGAATCTTAAGCAGACTCCATGCTCAGCATGGTGGCTGACGCAGGGCTCCATCCCATGAATCTGGGATCATGACTTGAGTTGAAATCAAGGGCTGGGTGATCAACTAGACCGCCCAGGTGCCCTGGCATAGCCACTTTGGAAACAGTTTGCCCGTTTTTTACAACACCAAACATTTATTTATCATATGACCCAGCAACTGGACTCTTAGGCATTTATCCCAGAGAAACAAAAACAGGTTCACACAAAAAGCAGTACATTAATGGTCACAGCAACTTTATTCCAAATAGCTAACTAGAACTCAGATGTCCTTCAACGGGTGACTGGTCAAACCTATTGTGGCATACCCACATCATGAAATACTGCTCACCAATAAGGAATGAACCTTTGATACATGTAACAATTTGGATGGATCCCAAGGGATCACACGGAGTGAAAAATAGCTAACCCCAAAAAAGTTACAGATGGGGGGGTGCCCTGCAGGAGAGAAGTATAGTTATAAAAGGGTACCCAGAGATCTTTTGTGGTGATCGAACTGTGTTGTAGCCTGACTGTGGTGGCGACACAACAATCCACATGTGATTAAAAAAAAAAAAAAACTATACAGAACTAAACAGACACACACACACATGAAAGCTGGAGAAATCTGAGTGAGGTCAACATATTGTGTCAATGTCAATTTCCTGGTTACGATACTATAGTTTTGCAAGATGTTATCACTGGGGGAGAATGAGTAAAGGGTATACAGAATCTCTATTAACCTTACAACTGTATGGGACTCTACAATTATCTCAAAACAAAAAAACTGAATTTAATGAATAACCATCTTTTTTATTTTTCCATTTGTGATGGGAAAAGCAAGTAACATTCTCTGTTGTTTTCACAAATAAAGCAAGGCATTCAACTGTCCAGGAGGTAAAACCATTTGAACATAATAAAAAGTCATTTCTCCAGTGCAGTTGACCCTTGAACAACACAGGGGTCAAGGGCAGTAACACCTACCTCCCCTTACCCCCATCCAGGCAGTTGACAGTCTGTGTAGGACTTCTGACTCCCCTCAAATTTGATCAGAAGCCTTAACAATAACATGGGTAATTAACACATGTTGATCAGAAGCCTTACCAATAACATGGGTGATTAACATATATGTTGCATGTGATATGTAGTATATACTGTATTCTTATAATAAACTAGAGAAAATGTTAAGAAAATCATAAGGAAACTACATCTAGAGTACTGTATTGGATTTACTGAAAACTATCTGCCTCTAAGTGGACAGGAGTTGTTCAAATCTGTGCTCTTCAAGGGTCAACTGTATTTCACTCTGCTAAACACCCCTGGGCTTTATCTCACGTAATCCACACAACAGCCCTGTGTGAGGGACACAGCTATTACTCCTGGTTCACAGAGGAGGACCTGACATAGAGACGAAGTGACTTCCCCAAGCCACCAGACTAACGGCTGGAACCAAATCAAACAGGCAAAGTCCTTCCAGCAATACATTTTTTAACAGTCTAGTTTTGTTCTGTTCAGCTCTTCTGACCCCCCAAATTAAAAACTGCCATCAAGCACTGAGCACAGACGTTAAACTACCACGTCTGTGGGAGAATCACAAACTTTGGCTGGAAGGTCGATTAGGGATCCCATAGCCCACCTCCTTCACTTTACGGATAAGGAAACGTGGTGAAGAGATCTGTACAGAAGATACTCGTATCCCCAGGCCCGCACAGATTTAAATCCGTATCTCCACCCACGACTGAAGATACGGAAATGGACTGCTAGATAATGGCAGAGCCCGAGCCGTCTGGTTCTTCTGGGCGCTCGATATTGACAACACCAAGAAATGACAGCGTCAGGAGGCCCCACAAAAAGAAATCCAGAAGACGGCAGGCTCCCAGGCACTGCCGCGACAAAGCCTCCACCCGGAGCGAGAGCCAAGGCCGCGCAGGCGGCGCCCCTCAGCGGGCACCGCGCCGGCGGGTGGCCAGCAATGGGCCGCCAGCACACGGAGGCCGGCCAAAGACGGAGGCCGGGAGGCCGCTGGGCCCGCCCAAATGAGAGTTTTCACCCCAGTCACGCCCGGACTTTCTCCCAAGGTCCCGGGTACGCAGGGCCTGTGATGGCTGCGGCTGTGCGACTCGGCGAGGCCAGCCTTTCTGGGAGCCCCGCCGTGGGAGAGAAGGAAAACGGCAGAGCGTAACCTCCACCCTAGTCCCGCCTCGCTCGCGGCCTAGCTCCTCTACTCACGGCATTGGAGGAAGGGAGGGAGCGAGCGAGCGTGCCCCGCGTCTACTGCGCCGCCGGCCTGCCCTTCGCCCTCCGCCGCGCACGTCCATTGGCTGCTGGCGCCACTCCCACGTGGGACGAAGACACGTGTCCCATTGGTCCCCGAGTGGGAGGCGGGACTAGACAGCGCCGAGAGCCCCACAGCGTCCAGCCGGTCGGACCACCTCTGGGGCCTGAGGGAGGACTGGGGAGGGGCGCAGGCGATGGTCCCGCCGCTGCGCTACCTCCGCGGCGCCTGCGGCCGGGTGGGTGCGAGTTTCCCCGGCGGGTTTTCCTCCGCGTGCCGGCCGGCGCCGGGGAGGCCCTGGCCGCTCTGCCAAGGTGTTCGCCCAGCCAGCACCCGGTGAGTAGCCGCTGGCCTGCCCTCGCCGCCTGTGCGACTGCTTCTCTCGGAGGTGCCCCTTGCTGGACCTCTGCCCCTCCCTGCTCTACTTCCCTGTCCCGGGCAAGAGGAAAGGTCGGGGTCCCATGGATCCCTGGCTGCAACCTCGGATCCTAGGAGTTACCTGTGGGATTCGTTGGTTGTGTTTGTGTGACGGATGAAAAAAATAAGGCAGTGTTGAGTGGAGCTGGAGAGCAGTTCTGGTTTTGAATAGTACCCCTCCACTTCTATTCAATTCTTGGGTGGGTTACTTAAGCTCCTTAACGTCTTAGTTGTGAGTGGGATCCTAGTCTCTCCCGTAGGAGAGACACCTACTAGTCTCTCCCGTAGGTGGTCGTTTTAAGGGTTAGTGAAAGGACCTATCACACTAAGCAATTAAATATACTGTTAATTAGCTGGCCTCCCTGGTGTTGCCTGGAAGATTTGAAACCGTTCTTAAGTCAATCAGTTCCTGGCAAACCTGCATAGAGTTGCCCTGTGAGAAGCAGTTACTAGTCAAGCCTGCACAAGTGTCCTGTGATTTGAAGTTTGGAGGTCACCTTAGAAACCACTCTTTCTCTGCTCTCTGTGAAGGAAATGGCTTATGCTAAAGCTTTAAAGCTGGAAAGCTCTTGGCTATTTTGAGAACTAGAAGGTGGGCAAGATGAATGTGGCTGGAGCTTAGTGGAACAGAGATGGTGTGGAACGATCCTGGAGAAAGGCTGTATCACAGCAGGGATTTTATTTGATTTTAACTACACGTTGAACTTTATTCTAAAAGAATTGGGAGACTTTTAGAGGGTGTTTAAGAAGAGTGAGTGATTAAACGAGGTTTCAAAAGCTGACTGGCTGCTGTGTGTTAGTTTAGAGGGGGATTAGAGTGGGATAGGACTTGTGATTCATAGTGGGGTATGTAGACAATTATTTTGGGAATGCTTTTCTTAAGGAAGAAGGGAGGGTTAGTGGAGGTTTTGTTTATTTTTGTTTTGAAATAATTGTAGACCCACAGGGAATTGCAAAAATACAGATTTTATGTACCCTTCAGCCAGTTTACTGCAATCATAGCATCTTACTTAACTATAGTACAATATCAAAACTAGGAAATTGACACTGGTGCAATCCACAAACCATGTTCAGATGTCATCAGTTTTTAGATGCACTCATTTGTGTGTATGTTTCTATGCAATTTAATCATGTTAATTTGTGTAACTGTCACCGCGAAATACAGAAGTGTTTGATCACCACAAAGATATCTCTTATGTTACCAATCTCTTTATAGTCACATCCCATCTCTTCACCCTTCCTAACCCTTGGCAACTACTAATCTGTTCTCTAACTCTAAAATGTTGTCATTTTGAGAATGTTGTATACGGGGACTCACACAGTATATAACCTTATGAGATTGGCTTTTTTCACACAGCATAATGCCTTTGAGATTCATCCATGGTGTTGCCTGTATTGACAGCGGGTTCCATTTAGTTGTTGCGTAGCATTTCATGGTGTGGTTGTATTACAGTTTGTTTAACCATTCACCAGTTGAAGAATATCTGAACTGTTTCTAATTTAGGGCTATTATAAATAAAGCTGCTGTGACATTTATATCCAGGTTTTTGTATGAACGTAAGTTTTTATTTTTCTGAGATAAATGCCCAAGATTGGAGTTGCTAAGACATATTTAGTTAGCACATGCTTAGTTTTTTATTTTCATTGTAGGCATGGTTTTTAATATAGGGCCATAAAAGGGATATCCATTGAGAAAAATCGAGTATTGATTTATAACAGAAGAGTGCACCAGAGGTTCCCTAAGAAGTATAAAACATAAAGTCATGCGCCTGGGATCCAGGTTCTGAATATTAGAATTTCCGTTTCAGAAAGACTTGAGATGATTGGAGTCCATATTTGGGACTCACAAAGAGACCATTATATCCTTTAAGTGGGAGATCTTCAACAATCCAAAGAATGGCCTGAGGAAGAGTGGGAGATCAATGATGTGGCCCAAATTGGGTAAGATATAAGCCCAAAGATGTTTTTCCTATGTACGAGTGAGAACAGAACAAAGGAAGTTGTGCCAACATCAAGGCCTAAAACACTTATCTGACTTGAGTGGAGTGTGTTATACAATGGCAAAGATTTATGTTTAGTTTTTAAAGAAACTGCTATACTCTATTTTCAGGGGGGGGCTGTACTATTTTACATTCCTACCAGCAGTGTGTGAGTGATCCATTTCCTCCTCATTCTCACCAGCATTTGGTGTTACCACTTTTTAAATTTTACCCATTCTAATAGGGGTGTAGGGTCCTCTTATTGTAGTTTTAATTTGCATTTCCTTACTGACTAATGGTAGTGAAACATCTTTTCATGTGCTTATTTTCCATCTGTATATCTATCCTCTTTGATGAAATTCGTTTATATCTTTTGCCCATTTTCTGAATGGCTTATATGAGAGTTCTTTATATATTCTAGATATGAGTCCTTTGTCAGATATGTGGCTTGCATCCAATTTGTTGGTTGTCTTCTTATCCTTTTAACAAAATCTTTTGCAGAGCAACATTTTTAATTTTGATGAAGTCCAGTTTATCAATTTTTCTTATATGGATCATGCCCTTGGTGTCTTTTGTTCACTTAGCCCTAGATCCCAAAGGTTTTTCCCCTTGTTTTCTTTAAAGGTTTTATGGTGAATATTTGATGATATGATACATTTATTGTAAATTTTAAAAAATTAGAATACTGGTATTATGTGCACATTTTAAAGAGGCCTTTTAGAAATAACATATTGAAATATTTACAGATGATCTGTAGGATTTACATCAAAATAATTTAATGCAGGAGGAGGTGAAATAGGTGGAATATAGAAAAAGCAAGATTAGCCATATTCCTATAAAACTAGATTTGTTGGGCATGAGGTAGGTGCTAAAGGTAATCTTTTCTGCTTCTCCTTGCTGAATTAGATAGACTATGCATGCCCTTCCTAATTTTTGAAATGGTTGTATATCTGGATTTCTCATGGCTAAAATTCTAAGCCTATTTCTGGATCAGTTATTTCCCCAAGGTTTGAAATTCTCACTGACTGTTTCCTTCTCAGTAGAAAAAGTTCTTGCACACTGAAGATTTAAGTGTTTTGGAGGACCTAAGTCTTAAGGACCTAATGTGTTAGTTTATCCTCAAGAATACTGCACTTGAGTTTTAAATGAATACATGGTAGAGAAGAGTGTGATACTTAACACAGAGTAAACACTCTGCCCAGGCAGAGTGCTGTGGAGATTTGGAGATTGAGAGAGGCTTGGGAAGTAGCTACCCTGCCTGCTGTGTGTAACTGCTTATACTACTGACCCAACGATGCATGTAACTCTTAAAGGCTTTTTCCTTTAAGAAGACAATAGCATAAAGCCCAATAAATAATTTGATTTTAATGATTACAAATTAAAAGTTTGATGAAAATTATGCACACAGTTTGATGAGATCTACTGTAAACATGCAATACTTTAAAGGTGACTTTTTCTTAAAAGCTCATTTGATGTAGTCGTTATCGGTGGCGGAATTGTGGGCCTCGCCTCTGCCAGAGCACTCATCCTGCGACATCCAGCACTTTCCGTTGGTGTTCTGGAAAAGGAGAAGGATTTAGGTATGTATATTATCAGTGTTGCTTTTTGGGCTTCACCCGAATACCTGCTCAGTTTTTCAGTTCTGCATCTTTCACGTTGAATGTCTTTGTTAGTACCCTAGTCTGAGTTCTTCATAAAGCAGAGCCTGGGACTAGGACTTGAGTAGAGGTGATTTATTTGAGAGGTTGTTTAGGAGGCAGAAGTGAGGGGCTGTGGAGAGTAAACTGGGAAGGATGAAAAGCCACAGGGGGGTATTTTATCAAGGTTACATTTATGAGCTTGATTCCTCTGGGACCTCTGAGGAGCAACATAAACATTTCCAAGAATTGTGCTCATTTATCCATCAGCTAGTGTTTCAGCTGGCTGAGGATTGCCCCTAGGAATGTTGAGTTGTAATCTTGTCACATTACGAAAGCCACTGGGGCAGAATACCCAGAGCCATAGTGGGTTTGCCAGTAGTGAGAGA